TATATATATATATATAGTTTATTAGCCTAGTTTAGTTATAGGCTGTTAACAACTTAGTGAATTTTCTTTTCTTTTTATAATTTAAACTTTGTTCAGATCAATCAATCGGTCTGTCTAACGATAGGACGTCCTACCTGCATGTCAACCTATGTATTTACATAGCTATGCACAGCCAATAGCGAGAATGTGGGGCGTGGCTACTGTCACTGAGTTAAATAATGTTTTACCCCTGTGGACAAAGAAATTCAGATTCTGTTACATAAGTTCAAGCCAAAATCGAAATACTTGCCAAAATATATAGAGACAGACAACAGGGTAAAACAATGGTAAACACTTTAAGTGTTATACAAGATGAAGGAATTTGATGGAATGTTTGGGTTTCAATAGATGCAACGAACTTGCAGAGTTACGTAACTAAAGATGAGCTAAACTTCAAGTTAAAAGTATTCATAATACATTGGACCTTTTGAAAGTAGCTTACTTTCAACTTGTGAGACGTGAATTCACCTTTTTAAACATGTAAGAGCTGTGTTTGGGATGTTTGAGTTGCAGGAAGCATGAGGTTTGTAAAGATTGCTTGAAAATATGCTTTAGTTTTGTAGTTCCGCTAGGCAACGATAGTAGTGCAGAAATTGCCTAGCTTAGCTTTAATGGGGACTTTAAAAATTCTGTTGAGCAGTCACAAGTGTCCTCCAATGACCTTTTAACTGACTTTTTGTTGTATTGTAAATAAACAGTAATAGTGTATTTCACCAAATGGTTCATTAATACACGCAAATTAAATTTAGCTGTGAATATAAAAATTCAGTTAAAATCTAGGAAAGGGTCCCACTTTCTATTAGGAGGCCTTAACTACTGCATTTACATTTAAATTAATAATTTGATACAATGCACTTAACATTGTACTATTTTACTGTTTAAAAAAAAATACCTGCATGTAATTACATCTCTAATTAATTTCTGTAATTACATTTATAATTACACTGGTGACCCTTCCCTTACACCTTAACCCACCCTTAAACCTACCCATAACACCAAACCTGTCCCTATATCCTTACCCGTATCCCACCTCAATAGCAGCAAAAGTGTTTTTGCAATACAATATGAACACAATAAGTACTAAGGGTTACACTTTATTTTAAGGTGTCCTTGTTACAGTGTAATTATACATTTAAGTACTAAGTAATATTAATTAACTACATGTACTTACTATATGGTTAGGATTAAGGTACATGCATGCAATCATGCATAATTTATCGTTATTATAATAATAAGTACATGTCACAAGTAACAAGGACACCTTACAATAAAGTGTTACCTACTAAGTAATAAGTAATAAAATAATGTACTTACTTTATTATGTATTTGCATAGTAGTTAAGGCCACCTAATATAAAGTGGGACCCAGGCAAGTCTCAAAATATCATCATTTGAAACATGACATAGTCATGTCCATTTACATGCTCATTAAAACTGCTAATTGATAAATAGGATTTGACCTGATGATGAGAAGAATGCCAAGGGACAAAGCTGACTTGTGAGGTCTAGATTTTTCTGCTCTCGCATCCACTATGATAATTAGCCAATTAATTCTATGTGGCATGCAGGTTTGTTATCAGCTGCTGAGCTTTCCACTTGCCCTGCCGGAAGTGTGAAGATTAGCGGCCAGCAAAGCCCACCTTGTGTGAAAGCATCAATCTGATAATGGAATTGCTGAAAATGGGCAACACACACACACACACACACACACACACACATGAACATGCATACACAAACAGAGAAAACAGAAAGACAGAAAGTGATAAAGTGACAGTCTGCTGAAAGCTAACACTAGTCTTTTGGATCCATCCATATTTTTCTGCACAAATATATTGTCTGACATTGAAAAATTGAAAGTGCTTTAATAAGCTAGTTTTCAATAGTAAATAAAAAAGCCCACATTGTATGTCAGTGCAAATAAAAACTGATAAGAGATTTGAATAATTGGTTCATAACTGCTAAATGGCGTCCACCTTCTTTTTCAGCAGCCTCGACTCTGGAAGTTTTTTTTTTTCCTCATTCATGTTCTCCATTGTAAAAAAAATAAATAAAATATAGAAAATAAAGAAAAATACATACATACAGTACATAAATTTGTCAATAAAAGGGTCATAGGTACAATACTGTATACTTAAATTATTTTATTATGAAACCAGAAACCACTCTTCCCATGAAGCATACTGAATCACATAATCAAATCATGTAATCAGATCACACATTGTAATACTTCACAGAATGAGGAGTCAACATCTCTGATTGGTGGATCACTCTGTAAGATTTTGTGTAGTTCTTCGGTGGAAATAAAATAAAAACAAATGTTGGTAACACTTTATTTGAAGGTGTCCTTGTTACACGTTATATGTACTTACTATTATATTAACAATAAAGTATGCTTAATTACATGCAATTAATCCTAAACCAAATCCTAACCCTAACCA